GAGGGAGCATCCAGATACTGACCACTCAGTTTAAGATATGCAATTGGATTTGTCTCTCCTCCCTGATCTCATTTCATTCCCTCCAGAAGTAACCATTCTCAATATGGGTTGGGAGTTCATCATTCCCTTACGTATTTTTATGCTTTTACAATGTAAGTTGTATGCATAAACAACATACAATATTGTTTTGCATGCTTTTAAATTTGGCATAAATGGAATCGTACTGTTGTTTCCTTCTGTAACTTGCCTTTTCTGTTCAACATTCTGTTTTTGATTTTTTAGATCTAGTATTATTTTTGTTAGAAACGATGGCTTAGAAACAAGTACTTGGTAGGTAACAATAATGGGAACTAGTCATAACTTTGACCCATTACTCATTTTTTAAAAACTCCTGGTCATATGTCCATAGAAACAGTCCATGAACAGGACAGAGGTGATCAACTGATGCAATATGTTAAAGAATTTGAAAAAAATGTTCTAGGAAAGGTAGCTTTATTCACCACTACTTAAATAAATGGTACCTTAATTTACTACTATTTTAAAAACTAACCAAGTTATTTTGTCTTGAGTAGGTCATATAGCTTTTCTCTTTTTCTTCCTCTGAACCAGCGATTTTCAACCTTTGTGCCACGGCACACTGGTGTGCTGCAAGAATTTTTAAAACATGCAATACCTATTTATTTAGTCAGGGCACTGACCTCTTTTCCTTTAGATTGTCAAAGAAAAAAATGACAACAGCCGACACAATAGCCGTCCAGTGTGAATGAATCAAAATTATACTTTTTTTTTTTTTTGGTCAGGTTGGCAAAATATATATATTTTTGGTGTTCCACAGAATTATAATAATTAGTTTATGTGTACCATGAGATTAAAAAAAGGTTGAAAATCGCTGCTCTGTACAATGAAGGAGTTAGATCACGGTTCCCTAGATATTTTATTTATTTTATTTTAAATTTTTAGTCCATGCCTCTTTTGGTGCACACAAAAATCTCAAGTCCTTCTCTAAGATTATTTGGAATTTAAAAATGTACTAAACAGACTTCCAGTTATGGGCAAGTGAGGAGACTGGCAAATATACTCCCCTAAAAACCAACTATAAAGCTGGACAAAATTAACATAAACTATCATTTTGTGCTCTGGAAATTGACCAAGGCATACAACAACTTGAGAAGCATTTCTGCTTGAAGAACTGCTGAACTTTGGGTAAGAACAGTGGGAATCTGCGGTGCTCTGGCCTGGGGCTACTCCTATTCCCCCAACCACCCCAGCTCAATATGGGGAGGTTCTGCTAGGGCAGGGCAGGCCATGAGGACTGGCAGCTTTTCTGCTGTGGCTGAACAGAGATACTTTATCTGGAGCAATGGGCAATGCCCACATGGGCCCAGAGGAATTGTCAGTGGAGGTGATATTCTCCATGCAGGTGAGCAGGAGGAGGCCAACAGCTGGCTTCTACTAGTCTGTGGCTGCAGCTGTGGTTGGGGCAGGCATACTCCTGGCTGAAGCAGCAAAATGGACCAAGCTATTCACACATGCAGACCCTGGGGTTGCACATATGTGCATAGTAGACTAAAAAAAGGCCATGTACAAAATAAAACTTGAGGCATACTTGAAGACAGCCTGAATTTTGCATGTGTTGCCTTCCACATACACAGGTCTATCAACAGGAAGAAAGACTTACTGGTTTAAGGTGTTTGGGCATACTTGATATTTATTGCAAAGCAAGATGGTTCTTTCTTGGCCTAAAAGCCCTTGTACTCTTGGTTGAAATCAGTTTAAGAGAAAATTCAAACAGATTTCTTTTCTTCTTTAACAAAGAAGGTGTTAGGGCGCACACAGAGAGCACAGGACTTGAACATACAGTTGATCCTTGAACAATGAGGGTTTGAACTGCACTGGCCCACTTACAGGCATATTTTTTTCAATTGACCTACACAGTTCAAACACACATTGTTCAACTGTAAGCAAAACCCCTCCATTCTGTGTGTTATTGGTATAGATTGATGAATTTCTATTTTTATGATGTTTATAAATCATTATCATAATTATTTTGGTGCTCAAGTTGTCCCAGAGTTAGCCAGTAGGATCCCCTTCAAGCTGGCTTCTGTGTCCCTGTGATATGTCTCTTCTTTTTTTTTTCTTTTTTTTAAACTTCCTTAATTTCTAGCAAAAAAGATGTTCCAGGCTCACCTGGAATCAATGATTTCTCCAAGGAGCCCTAATTCTCTCTTAGCAAGCATTATCAGCTATCCATTACTGCAAACCAACTACCCCAAAATTTAGCAGCTTAAAACAACAAATGATTATCTCACACAGTTTCTTCTGAGGTTCAGGAATTTGGGAGAGGTTTAACTGGGTAGTTCTGAATAAGTTTCTCTCCTCTCCTGAGGTCACAATTAAAATACCAATTTCCTGATTTTTTTGGAATGGGAACTCATTTTGGGAAGAAAAATCACACTTGATACAAGAAGTTCTCAGGCCCTAGAAGACAGTCAAAACTAATTTAATATTGCAGTTTTTGTTCTACTTTGAAAGATTGTTTAAGATCAAGTTCTGAAACAAAAAACAACAAAAGATCAAGTTCTAGACTACCTTTATTTTATGCTATTACTTTTATTGTGTTTGAGCATTTTCTTTTTCATCAGATGATTCAAGTTATTACACCAAAAGGTTATTGAAGGTCTACTTGTACAAGACCGATAAAAGACATAAGCTCTGGCCTATAGGAATTTGCAAAGTAGTATAATCCTACCCCTTTCCTGAAACTTTCTCAAAGAAGTAAAATTCTCAGAGGGGAAGCTACTAGGAGCTCCAACTTGTGTAATGAATCTTATCCCTTTGCTCACCATTCTAGTCATCTTTCAGCTACTGAATACCACGAGTTGTGCCGCGCTATTAGCTCTAATATGAATACAACGTAAAAAGCAATTTTTTTTTACCTGCCTAATCAGCATAGTCTGTCATAGGGTCCCTGGGGTTCCAAAGCTGTCCTAGGAATAAGCCTTGCTGAACCCACTTCAGCACAAAACGAAGCAATGAATAATTAGTGAAATTGAGAAATCGGCCCACACAGGGTAAATCCATCTTTGAGGAATTTGGGATTCTTCCAGAAAGAAAAGACAGCCCTGCTTGAGGGAAACGGAAAAGGTCCGCGGGCTAGCAGTCTCGCAGAGCCGGTTTTATTCCCGGCACTGCCCCCAACCAGCTGAAAGGTGGGCGGCCCAAGCACATCAGCTCTCGGAGTCTTTCCCAATCCATAAAGGGAGGGGCAGGCTTGACTGCCCCTCTCGCTGCAATCTTCCAGTCTGAGGCGCATGGAGAAGTCCATAAAACGAGTAAAATTTCTTCAAGGACTGCTAGAAGTGAACTCACTGGTCAAGGTTAAACGACTTGTTCTTTGAGGACAAACAGTAGGGGCGGCCATAGCACACCAGTCCTGGTACTTTATTAAGGCACTTCGCCGAGACGCGTGACTACCGTGCAGAGCTCGGCACCATTCCCGCCTCTCGCTGTCCCTGGGAAGACCTCGGGCGACGAGCACAGAGGTCTAGGCGCCTGCGTATTGCGGCCCGAGGGACGAAGTCGCGCAGCGAACCCCTCGCAGCCGCGCAAACCACGCGATATTTCCCCCGGAGCTTGGTGGCGGTAAGGAGCGACGGCTGGCTGGTGCGGCCGCTGGGGCGAGGGAGCCCCCGGTTGGGTCGGGCCGTCGGGGTGAGGGGAGATTTAGGAGCCAGCGTGACCTCTAGGCTTCCTCCTGGAGCTACTGGCCTTGTACGTAGGACGTTCGAATAAAGAATGCTGGAGAAGCAGAAACAGGTCTTTTTTTTTTTTTTTTTTTTTTTTTTTTTTTTTTTAAGTATTTT